TTGTCACTTCTTTCCAGGATGAAGAGAAAGCATTGGTGAGCACCCTCTGGGTTCGTCCACTTAACCAATTACAGATCCACCTAACCGTAGTTTTGCCTAGCCCACATTTGATTAGTTTGTTTGCCATGGGGGACTTTACTGAATGCCTTACTGAAATCCAGATCCACAGCATTCCCTGCATCTACCCAGCTTGTAACTCTATTGAAAAAAGAGATCAGATTAGTCTGGCATGACTTGACTACATATGAGATGATGGATACACACAGCATCTATAAACAACATTATTCTGTATCAGATTTATTCAAGAAAAAATGCATTTGCTTTTGTACATTCATGTTTTTGGGAAATCTTGGGATTTCTTGGAAATAAAAGATGAGCGGTTTTTTCTGTCATGAGATCCAAGACTGGCCTAAACTAGAACAAGCAGAGGGTTCAAACTAGGGAAATTATAATGGCATATTTAGTTGGAAATGCTACAATTGTCATTTCCCATCTTTGTCAATAACAGATACAATCATAATGAATGAAATAAATAATAAAGTGTAACCTTTTCACAATAGCCAAAATCAGTTGCTTGATGTATATGAATTATACTCTGCCCAATGGTAGGATAAGTCTTGAGAAAAATCAATCAGAGATAGGGTTTTTCACCATGGCTGACCATCCCCTACAACTTGCAATTACAAAAAGGAAAGTTTTATGTGCTGTAAAGCATACCTCCTGTTCCTAAAGTGTAACAGTGAGACTGGCATGAGCAAAGCAATGTTCTGTATCACAATCTATATAAATAAAAATGTAATGTTCGTTTGTGGTATTCACAGAACTCAAAAACCACTGGGGCAATTGGCACGAAATTTGCACACAAGACACCTAACAACCCAATGTATGTTCTTCACTAAAAAAAATTGATATTGTCATTTGGGAGTTGTAGTTGCTGGGATTTGTAATTCACCTACAATCAAAGAACATTCTGAACCCCACCAACGATGGAATTGAACCAAACTTGGTACACAGTTCTCCCATGACCAAGAAAATACTAGAAGGGTTTGGTGGGCAGTGTCCTTTGGTTTTGGAGTTGTAGTTTACCTACATCCAGAGAGCACTGTGGATTCAAACAATGATGGATCTGGACTAAATTCTACATGAATAAATATGCCCAAATGTGAACACTGGTGGAGTTTGGGGGAAATAGAATCTTGACATTTGGGAGTTGTAGTTGCTGGGATTTGTAGTTCACCTACAATCACAGAGCATTCTGAACCCCACCGACAATAGAATTGGGACAAACCTCCCACACAGAACCCCCATGTGGGCCACAGCAATGCGTGGCAGGGGATGGCTAGTATATAAATAAAGCTGTTTTTGTCTTTAGATTGTACTGAAATTAATGTGTGCCTTACAATCAATATCACCTTAGAATCAAAGAAATGTGGGTGGTTTGATTTAAACAACATTAGCCAGCAGGCCTTTCAGGATAACTCTGCATTCTATTGTATTTTTGCCCCACACTTTGGCATAACAGAATGTTAATTGCAACAGAGATATTTACATATGGTTCTGGTCCACATGGACAACCTTTACTCACAATGGAGACTTGTCTTACATTGCTGTTCTTCAAGTGAGGACACATTGGGATGTGGTATGGGAGGTAGCATGTTCCCCTTCTTCTTGAGTCCATTTCAACTGTAATCTAAACAGCCGAAGAGGAATAATATGGGGTATCCCACTCTAAACATTTGGGTATGTAACTCTTTTACTTTCTGACTATACCCATGAGGCAGTGTTTTAGAAGGTGATTGTATGTACATATGAAGTGTCATCTATCTATCTATCTATCTATCTATCTATCTATCTATCTATCTATCTATCTTCTATCATCTATCTAATCTCTCTCACTGTGTTTTGTTTTACAACCATAACTAAAGAGGCAACATCAAAAGAAAAGCTGTTTCTACTGGCACTCTCTATGCCAGCTATTGAATAAGAGCAGCACCTTGGAAAATGCTACGTAAGTTATATATCCTCCTTACATAAATGTGCTGAATCAACATGCAAAAGATAGGAGTATTGTAGCCCCATCCCCCTTGGTTTCTCACTCAACTCTTGTGGAGGAAGGGTAAATCTGAACAGGAAAATTTCTCCTGCATATGGATGCTTTTCACATACGAGGGTTGAATGAAAATTAATGCCTCCACCTTCGTTACTTGGGTTTGGATGAGAATATTTTCATAAATCAAGCGCAGAAATAATCCTTAGAGTAATCCTATTCACTATTCACTATTTCACATAATCACCAGACAATTGGATACATTTCTGCCAATGATGAACAAGCTTTCTGAAGCCATCACAAAAGAAGTCAACACTCGGTGTCCACAAGCAGTGTCTCACAGTTCTCTCAATATCTTCATTAGAAGCATAATGATGTCCCCACAGATCTTCTTTCGTTATTGGGTACAGATGGAAGTCAGATGGTGCTAAATCTGGACTGTATAGAGCAGTGGTTCTCAACCTGGGGTCCCCAGATGTTTTTGGCCTTCAACTCCCAGAAATCCTAACAACTGGTAAACTGGCTGGGATTTCTGGGAGTTGTAGGCCAAAAACATCTGGGGACCCCAGGTTGAGAACCACTGGTATAGAGGATGTCGTACGGTGGTGAGATCCAGTCTCTGAAGTTTCAAGTCTGCATGCTTTCATTTCAGGCGTCAGCATCCTGGGTACCCATCGTGCACAGATCTTCTGATAGCCAAGCAAAGCAATAATGTGACCCACACATTTCTGTGAAATGCCGATTATGCTTGAAATTTCTCTCTGAGTGATACAATGATCATCCTGACTCAATCTGTCAACCTTTTGCTTGTGAAACTCGGTGGTTGCTGTCACAGGACATCCAACTCTTTGTTTGTCATGCAAGTCAGATGTTCCCACCTCAACATCTTTAAACTTACTCACCCAACGATGCACAGTACTCACATCAACACAATAAACATAAACAGCTTTCACTCACTGATGAATCTCCTTTGAGGTGACACCTTCTGCTGTCAAGAACTCAATGACTGTACGTTGCTTAAGTCGCATTTTTTGTCGTGTCAGGAGCAACTTGAGAAACTGCAAGTTGCTTCTGGTGTGAGAGAATTGGCCGTCTGCAAGGACATTGCCCAGGGGACGCCCAGATGATTTGATGTTTTATCATCCTTGTGGGAGGCTTCTCTCATGTCCCGCATAAGGAGCTGGAGCTGATAGAGGGAGCTCATCTGCCTCTCCCCAGATTTGAACCTGCGACCTGTCCTGCTGGCACAGGGGTTTAACCCACTGCACCACCAGGGGCTCCTAAGTCGCATGACCAACCGTCTGTGCAGGGTTCCATACGTTGCACTTTAACAACACAACCATTCAATGTTAAGGCTTCCTGACAAAATGGAACTGTAGAGGAGAGTCTACTGAACAAGCCAGTACATGCCGCATACCAGTACTGCCCTCTGTTGAGGAGTTACGAAGGCGGAGGCATTACTTTTCATTCAACCCTTGTGCATGACTTTTTTATTCCTGATAGTATGGAGGGCATACATAAGAAGAAGCTCTCCAGACACATTGCTTTCCACTTAAGAGAACGACAGAACTAAGAGATGGAGTGGTTACATGCTATGATAACAGATTCAGAATGCAACTTATTATACTTGATTAGAAATGCAACATATTCCGGTATAAAAGGACATGCAAAGAGATAAACAGCTATAGGAGTGTTGTGAAGTATAAATTGTAAATCTGTGTTCTCAAAGAAAAAGAATACACAGAGCAAATGTTTGTCGGTTTCTGGTATTAAGTATAATATAATGTCTGAAAAGCCACTCAGGCCGCTTCTACTCTGTCATATAAATCCAGATTGTCTGCTCTGAACTGGGTGATATGGCAGTGTAGACTCATATAATCCAGTCCAAAGCAGATAATGTGGATTATCTGCTTTGATAATCTGGATTATATTCATCATCATCATCTTTAATGACTTATTAATCGCCCTCCATCCGAGAATGCTCTAGGCGATTTACAGCTAAATTGTAAAAGATAAAATACATACATACAGAATTTAAAAATTAACAGAGATCGAATGCTCTAGTAAAAAGCCAGGTCTTAAGTGCGAGAGTAAAAGGCCCTAAGTCACGCATGGCTCTCAAATAGGGTAGCAAGGAATTCCATAAGGCAGGGGCAGAAATAGAAAAAGCCCTGCGTCTGGTACTTTCCAAGTGCACTTCTCTAGGACCTGGTATATAGAGTAAGTTGCGTTGGGCTGGTCGTTGCGGCCTCCGATGATGGGAAAAGGAGAGGCGGTCCCTAAGGTTGGATGGACCCTGGCCGTAAAGAATTTTAAAGTTCAGAACTAACATCTTATACAGGCCACGGTACTCAGTTGGAAGCCAACTGGTGTTATATGGCATTTCATGGGCGTTCTTGTGAGTACCCTGGCTGCCGCATTCTGAACAATACGGAGCTTTCGGGTTGTAGACATCGGAAGGCCAACATACAGGGCATTGCAATAGTCCAGCCTAGACGTGGCCGTGGCATGGATGACAGTTGCCAGAGCCTCATCAGATAGGTAGGGTGCCAGTTGCCTCTCTTGTCGTAGATGGAAAAAGGCCTGTTTGCTGGCAGCAGTGACCTGAGCTTCCATTGTCAGCTGCGAATCCAGGACGACACCTAAGCTCTTAACAGTGGTCGATGGAGATAGAAGGGGCCTGAGTGGTTTTTCATGGCTTTTCAGGATTTGAACCTTGGGCTCTCAGATCCCTAGTCAAACACTCAAATTTCTAGATCAGACTATGGCAGAGAGTACTTCTCTATCCGTCTGGAAAAAATACTTTACAAAAAAAGTGGCACAGTATCCGGAGGATTCTGTCAACAGTAGTGCAGCCAATGCATGGTTGTTCTTACACTACATCACCTCGTAGTGGCAAACAGCTATGACTGCCGTGGTGCATCCCTAGATGTAAGATAGAAATATAAAGAGCTGGTGCTTCTTGTTTATCAAAAAAATATCTCCCCTTCCCTTGGGTCTCCCATTTCTGGGTTTTAGCCTAATTACACAAATTGATTTCAGTTCACTTCCAACCCAAGTATTCAGCTCCCAAGTTACACGGCAAATTTATCACCCATAAATCCTGGTTAGAGGGTTTGGGACACTCACAGTGGAGCGCTTATTGAAAAATTGTCTTGCAAAATTTGCTTGCCTATGTTGCTGCTGTAATTCTTTCTTCTAGATTGAAATCGTGCAGGTTTTGAGATCCATATTTATATTTTGATGTCAAGCATTTGGTTTATAAAGTGCTTTTTGAAAAACTGCAGATAAGAAATTTTAAATTAACAGGGAAAGGTCCCAGGAGTAAGTCTATAATTCTAGATGAATATTTTTTTTTCCTCTTAAATTTTATAATGGAAAACACTGTTTTCTGTTCCAGCACATTTTGAGTTATGTGGCCCACAAATGTGTCCAATGTTCTCCAGCTTCAGCATTCTCAGGAATCAATGGTTGAAGGACGCTCAGCATTTCTTTCGTGTCTTTACAGCTTTGCTGTAATACCTGACAGGAATCCCAGAGGGACCAATGAGATAAACATCAAACAAGTAGACAATCCCTGCTTCCAGCCCTTTGATGGTTGCTGTTGTCACCGCTCGCTGTAAATTAGCTTCGTGGAAATATTTGCACAGGACTTTGTCACTTTTTTGCCTTGACTCAGGTCCTGAACACCGGTCCGCATTTCTTGTTTCCATCCAGACTTGGTCCTCCTCAATCTGTTTCTTGTATACACAGTATTTGCTGAGCTGCTGGGTTCCTAGCCAGGCTATAGTGACCGAATTACAAGTCCTCAGCTTGCTAAAGGACTTAATTTTTAAACTCTCTGGAAGAGCTGGAAAGAAAGGTTTGTGGAAGAGGGATGACACCTGAACCTTTACAGAGGCGTTTGAAGGTTCAGTAGACCCCAGCTGTACTGAGTAGGTATCATCTAACCTTCCCTTTAGCACAAAGTGTCTCAAGCCTGCAAATCTTTCTGACATCAGAACTTTCCCATTCCTAGAGATTTCGACTTGTACTTGGCCACTACAAGACTGGAATGCAAATTGGACCTGCTTGTGCCTTGCCCGATACTGCAAAGTAGAGGATTTTTGGTTTCTTCCATCCAGGGTGAGTTGTATCATCTTCCCATCTTTCATGTCAGTCACTTTGGGTTCAGGTTCTTCAAGAGTCCTGGCAAAGGTCCCAGTAAAAGCGGCACTGGCATTGGTAAGGAAGTTGACCACAAAAACATCGAAGTAGTACTGAGTGCTAGGAGTAAGATTGGGCACTGTGTAGGTGTTCTTGGTTCCCACACATGTCTGCCTCACCTCCCCATTGCTAGCTTTGCTGATGATGCTTAATTCACCATTGGACAGTATCATCACTTGTTGAGTATCCAACAAAGCTCCATGTTGAGGGAGAGAAAATTCCAATGCTTGGTATGATTTCATCCCGGAAGATCTTATTGCAGTTTCTGCAGCACACAAACTTTTGTAGTTGTGTTTTTCATTCATCAAAACACAGTATTGGGTGTTCTCTTTGTCTTGCAAGACTGTTGGACTGTGCTTCCAAGCTAGAGTTACTGTGGTGTGCCCAATCCCAATGACATCAATCCGTGGATCTGCAGGGAGTTCTGGATATAGGTGTTCTGAAGTTGTTTGAGTGGCTAGATACACTGTAATGTGGGTATCTCTCTCAACTGACATAAATTCAAACATATAGACAGCAGAATAGTAAGATGTCCCTGTGTAGGTTTCCACAGAATTGCCTCTGTAGCTAAAAAGAGTTGAAATTATTTTTGTAGTCTTCTGAAACTTTGGAGATTCTTCAACATCCAACTTATCTGTCAATGAAACACAGATATGTCCGTTATTTAGTATTTTGCAGGGCAGGGGAAATCAATAGTTGGCCTAAGTCATAGGCAAAGCTATGGTGACAAATTCTGAAGTGTCATCAGAATAATCTCCATAGCTATCAATGAAGCTGTCATCAGAATAATCTCCATAGCTATCAATCAAGAAAGGTCCAAAATATTGAATTCCAAGCATTTTTGCAGCTTTCATATCCACCAAGAAAAGATCTATTGTAAATCTGGTGGATCTTAATTGGCAATTAAAGAACAACACACACTCTCAAATACTTTGCATTATTCATCAGCCGGGAAGTAGCAGCCAATAGTGAAAGGACCAAGTCAAAGACATCTCCAGCTCACCCCCTGTTTGGGTATCAGCCAGCACGTCAACGACTTAAATCTAGAATAGTTTTCTAAGATCTACAGAGACACTCGCTGGAACACCTCAGCAAGCGAGAGTCCAAAAGTGGCAGGCTCAAACCCAGAACCTCAACCAATGGCTGATACCAAATGAGAGACTCCCCCCTGGGCACACAGAGGACTGGGCGACTTGGAAGGCGCTGAACAGAGTGCGCTCTGGCACCACGAGATGCAGAGCCAACCTTCAGAAATGGGGCTACAAAGTTGAATCCTCGACATGCGAGTGTGGAGAAGAGCAAACCACTGACCACCTGCTGCAATGCAACCTGAGCCCTGCCACATGCACAATGGAGGACCTTCTTGCAGCAACACCAGAAGCACTCCAAGTGGCCAGATACTGGTCAAAGGACATTTAATCAACTACCAACTCACAAATTTTGTATTTTGTCTGTTTGTTTGCTTTGTTCTGTTAGAAATGTAATATAATTGACTGGTTGCCCTGACACGACAAATAAATAAATCAGCTACAAATTGAATTGTAGTTGATGAATACCAGATATCTTTCTATGAATATGTAAAGAGTCATATCATTGGTTCATGTAGCTCAGTAGTGACTCATCTTCCTGGCATTTGAAGCAAACATATTTCACAGCCTGAGCTGCAGATACCAAGAGACCTTTGGCATACAAAACATGACTACTGTCAAAGAGCCATGGCTTTTTCCTGGTGGAGTGTTTATCTTTATTATCAGAGGTTTAACCCATCTAAATGATTTTTGAATCATTTTCAATTTGAACAATGGCCCGAGTTGCACTGGTTACATAGTTGATTAGATACTTGGTATTACTTACTACAGCTGAAACACCTTAAAAGCCCTGGATCCCATCTGATCTTGGAAGCTAAACAGGGTTAGCTCTGGCTAATACTTGAGACAGCCAACAAATACTAGCTGCTAGGCTTGGTTGCTTTAAAAAATGGTTTGAAACTCATTTTGGATGTGGTTCGATTCGGAATTGAATTCCTAATTTTTCCTAATTTTTTTTTGGATCTTTCTGAAATTTCTGAAATTTCCAAATCGCTTTGTTAAAGTTTATTTCACACCTTTAGAAAGAATATTTTGACTATATGGGATTTGTAGTGTCTTTTCTGGCAACGCAAGGCAAACAAAGGAAACAAACAGCAGAGAGAAGCCTTTGTGGTTTTGGAAGTTGATTTCACACCTTTAGGAAGGACAGTTGGTGTTCAAAGAGTGGCTTGAATTGATAGGATATCTAGTCCTATTGAGGCAATGTACAACACAGAGGCCAGGCAAGAGAGACCTGCTACAGTGCCGGGGCTTTTTTAAACGTTGGAGTGCTTTGTTTCCTCCGTGCTGTTCCATCCTTCCACCCATGCCACGCCATGCCACGCCACACCACGCACCCTCACATCCCAATATTACCCACCCACGCATCGCCCACCCATCCCAAACCCCAACAGCAACAACACCTCATGGCTTCCTCCTGTTGTTGCCTATACAACACGGGAAGCCTCTTGTGTTGCCACAGCAGTGAATTACCACGCTCCCACTTCACTTGCAGCGTGGAGCCCTACTGGAAGTGGACTGCCATCATGAGATGGGAGCTGATAGGCTCTGTGCCACAAGTGAATAGGAGCATCATACGACAGGCAATTTTGTCCATCTGATGAGGCTCTAAGACAATGAGACTTCAGCACCACTTCACCTACTGATTCATTGTGCCAGTTTGCCAACCTGATAAGGAGCAAGATTGTCTGTCTCTGCACTTTAGCATCCACACGGTAGTAAGGATCAAGAGATGTAAGAGAATAATTTGTTTGTATGTGATTTTCTAAAAGTGTCATTGATTTAAATCATGCATCCTCATAATCCTCCTCCCTTCCTGATGTTAATTCCACCAGCCCTGATACTGGGAACTCTTTTGACATCTGGAGAATTAAAGTGAAGGGACAAATCAATTTTTGTGTTAAAAATAGCAACCGTGCTATTAAATATCCTTTGAGATTGTCCTTGAATATTCTTTTACCTTGAACTGCTTTTCCAAGGTAGTTTGTCGAAGACTTATGGACCCGTATACTCCACTCGATGGGGACGTCGCATGGGGTCACTGTCACTGTGAGTGGTGCTGAGCTTCTGCCTTCTTCTAAAACAAAATAATACCTGGAAATGAAGTGATACATGGAATGAAAAGCATGTCAAGGCTCAGATTTCCAGCAGAAGAGATTCAAAGAAACTAGAGATAATCCTTGAAACGTCTTCTATTGTAGACAATGATGATGTTTCTCAAATTAGACCAAACACATTCCGCTATGGAGCCCAGGTAGGCAATCACCTCAAGCACAGATTCTGGGTGTCATGAAAGAACAAGAAATCCTTAATACATATTCAAGGGTATTGGCTGTATAAAAAAAATTCCACATATGAGTAATACCTTTATTGGTCCCTTAAAATTCACAAAGCATTTCTTGCAAGTATTTGAAACTCCACTGGATTTGTCATCAAAAATATTTTAAAAATATTTTCAATTAAAGTATGTAAAAATATTAGGCTTGGGTGGTTTCGTTCGTTAATTTTGTAATTTGTTATTAATTCGTATTTAAATTAGCTTACGATCCAATATTGAGCCATGCAGGAATAGTGTGAGTAAATTAGATTCGAAACAATTTTTTCAATTTATTTCGTAATTATTTCGTAATTATTTCGTAATTATTTTCGCATGTCTGGTGCAAGTTTTATAGTTGTTGTTTGTTTTATCACACCAACAGTCACAACAGAGGGAGAGGGAAGCTTCAGAAGTTCCCCCTGTCCCATTTGGAGGTTTTTTTAGCATATTGCGCAATCGCGTCCGCCATTAACGAATCGATTCGTAATTTTACGAAATTTCGTATATTTCAAAATTTTTAAAAGGAAAATTTTGGAATTATTAAAAAAAACGAAACGCAAGGGCCCCCTAAAAGCAAAACGAGTTTAGAACCAAATTTTTCCGTGGTTACCCAAGCCTAAAAATATATATATCTGTGGAATGACCAGGGTGAGACAAAGGACTCCTGTCTGCTGGACCTAGCTCCAGCAGACAAGAGTCTTTGTCTCACCCTGGTCATTCCACAGATATATAAACCCTTTTTCCTAGTTCCAACAGACATCACTACCTCTGAGGATGCTTGCCATAGATGCAGGCGAAACGTCAGGAGAGAATGCCTCTAGACCATGGCCATACAGCTCGAAAAAACCTACAACAACCCAGTGATTCCATCTATAAAAGCCTTCGACAATGCAGTTTTTTTTCTGTTGGTTGAGGGGTCTGGAGGGATCCCAATGCAGGTGGAAACTACCTCCTTTTCTTTGGCCATGCAGGAACTGAGATAAAAATCAACAACATTTAAACCCCATAAGTCATTTGTAAATCCTTAGTTATTCATTTCTAATTTTTAAAAGCCCAAGTTTTAATGGGCATATTCATAAACGAGAAATGATTTTGTGTGTATGGTTGAAATGAAGACAAACTCTGCTGAATTGCGTCTTAACCAGCTGTTATAGCTGAGAACAGATGCAATATTTTAAAACCACTACCAATTATTCCAATTCGTATTTTTACTGTTCCTGTGGGAGCTTTCCAGCTTGCTCTAGCAGTCATGCTATATATTAGGTAACTTGGTATTCTGTACAGAATTTATGGAAGCTTTCTGAACTGTACCTTTGTCAGATGTGAACCATCTGGTTTCCTCACTGTAGCTCTTGTACCTGAACATGTATCAGATCCACAAATGCTAATGTATTTAATTGATGTTGTTGGGATAACAGGGCAAAATTTGGTGAAAGATGGAACCACTGCCTTCCAAACATCTGATAATTGCCTTGAACTTCAGATTCTTATGTGTAACACATATTAGCTAAACTCAGTCAAGGAAATAAAAAATAAATTTCTAAATACTGCTAGAGATACCAAAAATTAGTATCTAATTTTATACTAATTGCTTTAATTGCTTTTTCAGAAAGCAGGTGGAAACCAAATCTGAAAATGTATGTTGTTTAATTTATGTGTATGTTGTTTAACACACACATCTATGTGTGTGACTTTTGCCAAGAAAAATTGTATTATCACTCTGACCAAAAAGGTCATGAGTTCAAAGCCAGCCCGGGTTGGAGTGGGTTTCCAACCAATTGTGTAGCCTGTTGTCGACCTTTGCAACCCGAAAGACAGTTGCATCTGTCAAGTAGGAAAATTAGGTACCATCTTAAAGTGTGGGGAGGCTAAATTAACAGATTTATGAGGCCATAAAGAAGACTCCAGCAAAGCATTCCAGCAAGGAAGCATGTGGGAATGCGGAAGTGCTTCATCAGCGTCGCAGATGGACAATGAAAGCGACAGCTCCCCTGGCGGCCAGAAAAAGTTAAATAGCCTCTGTGTATGTCTTTATATGTTTGTATGTCAAAATTGGCATTGAATGTTTGCCATATATGTGTACACTGTAATCTGCCCTGAGTCCCCTGTGGGGTGAGAAGGGCAGAATATAAAAGCTGTAAATAAATAAATAAATAAATAAGTAAATAATAAACGAATATGCTGCTGATTGCTTTTCATGCCCCTCCTCTCACATTTCTGTCCAAGATTGTTGCCTCACTATGTGTCAATACTGATAGGTTGAACATAAATAGCCTGAGGAAGGTTTTTTTTTTTTGGTATCTTCTGCAAGGTCTGCCTCAGGACAGATGTTTCATACCTGTGATAGATGGTGCCATTTTTGAGCAGCTGTTTTGGAGCACCCCACCAAAGCTGACTCATTCTTTTGTCAGCTTATATGTGCTTGTTTACCTTTCTTAAGATAAGAAACCCTACATAAAGAGTATTAAAATAATTTAAATAGAACATTTTATGAAACATGTTATGCAACATGTTTCATAAAATGTTACATTTAAATTATTTTAATAGTGTTATGCAACATGCTATGATTACAAGGACAAAGAAAATCACAGTTCAGAGTAACATCAAAAAGTTATTTCTTAAAAGTAAAGTTCTTGCAGTAACTAAAAGGGTCCAAACCCAATACATAACTAAATACAATATGACTCCCTTATCCATGGATTAGAGATCTATGATTTCATTTTTCCATGTTCTCAAAAATTCCCCTTGCAATGTTTGTGGGCCTTTCAATGCTTTTAGCCCATATATAGTCAGATATAGGGTACACTATCACCCACAGTTTAAGGTATCAATGTCTATGTGTTCTGTTGTGTGTTGGGCCTGTAAATAGTTGTCTTTAAAACAGGACGTGCAACCTTTGCCCAATGGGAAGCCAGGGGTCCCAAAGAGAAGTTCTCAGACGTTTCCACCTCAAACAGTCTTTAGATGGTTTGAGAAGTACAACAAAGTCTTTTATTAATGAACAATCAAACAGAAACTTCTCTTGTCTTCAGTAAAGTTAAGCAAATTCCAAGCTTTTGGGCAACTGGTGAATTCCTAAACTTGCCCACGAAGGACAGGCAACTATCTTCAATAACTTCTTCTTTAAAGGAAAATCCCCTTTTTAACTTCTCCCAGGCTGACTGTAAACTTAAACCTAACTGATGTGGGCACCACTACCAGGTTGAACTGCGTCTCAAAGCACCGAGTGGACCTACCAGCAAGGCCTGTAGTCTCTTCAGCTGGAGTTCTTTGATCTTTAGGGCTGTTTCCCTGGAAAGTCTTTGGAGACTCTTTTCCTTCTGTTTCTGTTGGAATTTCTGTAACCCTGGAAATTCTTAAAGGTTGAAGCTTTTGTACAGGGGAAGCTTTACACACGTCCTGTACATAGCTTTCCTTGCTGAGACTAACTAAAAAATGGCTCCCTTCCCTTCCCAATTGCCCTGAGCAAGGGGCGGGACCAAACTTAATGATGATGGACAGGCAGCTTGCCCTATAACTGCAACCAAAGAAGCCACCTATCTGCAGAGTCCCTGAAACCTAGGACTGCAAACAAACATTTAATGTAAAGCAAACAAAATTGGAGCTCCTGGTACAGCTGTACCAGAACACTATGTGTGTGTGTGTGTTGGAACATATCACCTGTAGATATGGGGATTGTACTGTAATGTCATTTTCAAGAGCTTGGATAACCCCATTGATAATATAGACATAACATTGTTACAACAACTGGAAAGAGCTCATAGCAATTAACATTTCAATTCCACATCCTATGTGGCTGTCATGGCATGGGCAAAAACATGAAAAATCAAAAGACTCCCCATACCTTTTCAGTACATCCTTCATGAGATGGACTGTGGTTTCCTTTCCATCTGGAAGAATTAACGTGTGATAAAAGTGGAGGAGATCACTCTTGAAGCTTTGCTGTAAATTAGTGGCCATCTCCACTGAATGGCAGAAGCATGTGGCCAAGAGGAGCCAGGAGAGAAGGCAGGACTGGAGTCTTGACATCATCTGTGCTAGGAGCCTAGGGAAACAATGAAGATATGAATAAGCTGTCTTATATTTTTTTATCTTATCCTAATAATTAAATATAGAATACCATTAAATGATCTGTCCCTCCTTCATACTAGTTTCACTTTAGTATATGGGTTTAGTATATGACTAAAGTGATCAAGGGTCTGGAGAACAAGCCCTATGAGGAGTGGCTAAAGAGCTGGGCATGTTTATCCTGAAGAAGAGAAGGCTGAGAGAAGACATGATAGCCATGTATAAATATGTGAGAGCAAGTCATGGGGAGGAGGGAGCGAACTTGTTTTCTGCTTCCCTAGAGAGTAGGACGCGGAACAATGGCTTCAAACCACAAGAAAGGAGATTCCATCTGAACATTAGGAAGACCTTCCTGACTGTGAAAGCTGCTCAGCAGTGGAACGCTCTGCCCCAGAGTGTGGTGGAGGCTCCTTTTTGGAAGCTTGAAAACAGAGGCTGGATGGCCATCTGTCGGGGGTGCTTTGAATAAAATTTTCCTGCTTCTTGGCAGGAGGTTGAATTGGATGGCCCATGAGGTCTCTTCCAACTCTATGATTCTATCATTCTATGATTCTAATAACAGTGTCACAACTACTGGGGATCTCCCTCCAGGACGGGTCAGCAACTGGCATTTTGTAGGCCAATTCTGCCCTCTGTCTTGCTTAGTTTCCTGCCATACTTTACTAGGTTGTACATAACCTCTCATCTGATAACAGAAATGTGTGACTGGAAGGACAATTTGCACAAAGTATATAATCCTTGGGTTGTTGTAGTTTTTTTCGGGCTATATGGCCATGGTCTAGAGGCATTCTCTCCTGACGTTTCACCTGCATCTATGGCAAGCATCCTCAGAGGTAGTGAGGTCTGTTGGAACTAGGAAAAAGGATTTATATATCTGTGGAATGACCAGGGTGAGACAAAGGACTCTTGTCTGCTGGAGTCTTCACTATTTACTTTTTGAGGAAACAATGAGTAATTTTAGCAATTTTCTTCTAGTGGCAAGGACTTTTGAATAATAATAATAATAATAATAATAATACTCCACTTTATCTCCCCAAAGGGGACACGAAGTGGCTATTTTCAGAGAGTATTCTCAGCTGAAAACTTATTCTGCAGAAATTTCACATATAATGATACTTTTCTTGATGAGAAACTATTATTATTATTATTATTATTATTATTATTATTATTATTATTATTATTATTTAGAATTTTTATACCCCGGTCTTCTCACCTCCAGGGAGGGACTCAGGCCGGCTAACAACATAAAATTCAGTACAATAAGAAAAACATTATAGGTCATCAGTATAAACACATTAAAAACACTTCATTCAATTCATACAAATTACAGCAAAAATCAGCTTGTCCAAAAGAATCACAAATTCATCGCCATCCGCCAGAAAGGTCAGCAGTTATTGACTCAGTCATCATTCTGCGAATGCAGTATCCCAAAGCCATGTTTTTACTTCCTTTCTAAACGTCAGGAGGAAGGAGGCAGATCTAATCTCCATTGGGAGGGAGTTCCAAAGCCGAGGGGCCACCACCGAAAAGGCCCTGTCCCTCGTCCCCACCAAAAGCGATTGCGAAGGCGGTAGGACCGAGAGGAGAAGATCTTAACAACCTTGATGGTTCATAGGGGAGAATCCGTTCGGACAGGTAAATAGGGTCAGAGCCGTTTAGGGATTTATATGTCAACACCAGCACTTTGAATTGTGCTCGGAAGCTGATTGGCAGCCAGTGGAGCTGACGCAGCAGAGGAGTATTATGCTCCCTGTACCCCGCTCCCCTTAGTAATCTGGCTGCCGCTCGTTGTACTAGTTGTAGCTTCCGGACAGTCTTCAAAGTCTTCAAAGGCAACCCCACGTAGAGAGCGTTGCAGTAGTCTATACGGGATGCAACCAGAGCATGTACCACTGTGGCCAAGTCAGACTTCCCAAGGTACGGGCGCAGCTGGCGCACAAACTACACATGAATTTTATGTAGTAAGCCCTGATTCATAAAGTTTCTTCAGTCTAGTAGCCTTCAAAGTTTCTTGACACTTGAGCAACATATTTTGACCGTTTTCAAATATTTTTTTTCTATCTCTACATCTAGTCCAAGGACAAAAGTTCTCCCATCTGTGTTCTAGACTGTACAAAGTAGTCTACTACTAAAGTAGTAGTATTTTTTGCAACCAAAAGAGAGCATTAAATTGAAATAGAAAGAGGAAAACAGAGAGAGGGAGGGAGGGGAAGCTGCCAAGTTTGGAGAACAGATAGCTGTTGCAGAACAAAATGTCTGTAGGCAGGGGGTGCTCTTAGAACAGCATCCGTTTGAGGGAATGCTTCCTTAAGCTGGTCCTTAGCAGTACACAGTGCGGGGAAATGGAAAATAGTGTTCACAAACAATGGCAACAAAGACTGTGAATATACAAAGACAAGTAAAATGTTTTTGTTACCTTGCAAAAATGATTTGGTGTATATGAGAATAACTTCAAAGGCATTCCACCATTGCAATTTTGTTAATTTTGCTCAGATTGGTACGAGTTATCATTGAATTGAAACTAAATTTATAGCTCAGTTTTTTTGTTAAAGATGTTTCCAGAGGTGCTCGCATCTGTCACCAAATCAAGAAATGCTCATTTCCCCTTTATACCATATACAGTTATTTACTATGGAAAAATGCTATGGAAAAATTGAAGGGACGTCGATAAATGGCCCATAATTCTTAAAAGCAAATGGCTGAATGCAAATATATGACACTTGCAAGACCTCTTTAGACTCTTAAGTACATAAATAAAACCCTCCACATTATTGTTCTTGCAACATATTTTGTTGAAACTGCATCTTATAAATGGAACAAAATGCTCTAACTTTTGTATAGATGAGAACACCAGTTTTCCTATGCTCATGGAAATCCAAAAAGTAAATAATGTTCCCATATTGAGCAAAATTCCCAGAAAAAGACAGAAACAACAGGGTGAATCCAACTAGAATAACACTGTTAAATCTATTTTTTCTTGGTTAAACAAACTACTATTAAGATATTATTGGAGAGAATGATATGTTTCCTTTCCCCCCAGAAAATGAAAAAAGACACAACAGTTTAGTTCACCTACCTTAAGATAGATGTTATCTGAGCAACTTTCCTTCAGAGCAGAAATCCAAATGAAGCACTCCAACTTCGACTTTTGGAATACTTTGCTGGCAGGTGGAAAACACAGTCGGGAAACGTGTTTAACAGCACAGAATTGATTTTTCCATATGTTCCAGGCAGAATGATTATGTAAAATGCCTTCAGTCTTACAGGCAAAGAAAGTGAGAAAGTTCTCTTGTTTTTCTTCAAACCTGGGCCATTGGGATGTCTTCAGAAACAGATGGTCCCACTGTGACAATTTGGTTGCAATTCCAAGAGTGCTTCCCTTGTGAAAGGTGTCTGGCATGTAGCTAGTCTGTGAAAGCTCACCATGCCCCACTGGTGCGGCTTGGAGAGTGGGTCTTTGACAGAAATGCAAAAGAGTGCCTGTGCCTGTGAGGTGGTGTGTGCGTGCGTGTTCATTTAACCCTTTTATAGTATGAGCAAGCCAAGAGCTTGGTTATCTCTCTGTTTGGTTATCTCTCTGGGTGCAAAGGAACAGATTCTACTTCCAACAGTGTTTTCAATCAGAATTGAAGATGTGATCTTTGATATTAAGTAGCTCAAGAAAATTTCCTACCATCAAAACAGTTTTAAGATTTGCGGAATTCACGGGATGATGATTCAATGAGATCAACAGTGAAAAAGGTGGATGGTTGGATAACCAAAATATTGTAAGAAGAAACAACAAAAACCCATAATTCAGGGCAGTAATTTCACATAGCTTAGGAAATCCAAAAATGGACTATCTAACTGATAAAGACACAATTTTATTGAAGTTACGTGTTAATAAGATAATATGCAATTGGCTACTCAGAAGTAAAGAAACTTCACATAATACACGGAGTTGCTACTAAAGTAGTTTATATTACATTACTGTATATTTGTACATGGATATACAATAGTTGCTTGAATCATGAGTATGGAAATGTAAGAAGAGGCAAATAAACCCACTGTCACATGGTGTAATATTATATATGGGTACTAAAGAAAATATTGCACTAGGGTTACTCCTGGGCAGGCATGTAGCCGGGGGGGGGGAGGGGGGGCTTGAGGGGCTTCAGCCCCCCCACGAAATTCTCGTGGTGGTTCGCAAAAAGGCCTTACTGGTGCATTATTTAAACTGTTATGTTTATTCATATTATGATCTGATCACCCATACTCAATATATCCCATATGCATGGGGGTATTGAGGTAATGATACAAAAAGGTTTGCTAGGCTAGACCCTCTTTCACTCAGACTCAGCCCCCCCCCCCGAAACCTCCGCCCCCCCAAAACCCCCCTGAAAAAAATTCCGCCCCCCCCCCCCCCCGAAATGAAATCCTGGCTACAGGCCTGCTCCTGGGTAGGACTGGTGCAAATATGTTGGAGGGGTAGAAAACCAAAGGCAGAGAAGCAGCTTTATTTATTTATTTATTTATTTATTTCGGGCACTTCTACCCTACCCTTCTCAACCCCTTAGGGGGGACTCAGGGCGGCTTACAACCGGCACAATTCGATGCCAACAATTCAACAGATAAAATACATAACAACAATAACCACAAGTTAAAACATTCAATTAATATAATAACAACTAAAAGCCAATCTAGTGGCCAACGTTCACCGAGTTCTAAAATCCGTAAGTCCATTCAGCATTACCATAGTCCTTTCCAAATTCTGGTCGTCATTACCTTGTCAGTCTGCCAGATTACCCAAAGGCCTGGTCCCATATCCATGTTTTCAGCTTCCTTCTGAAGGAGAGGAGGGATGTTGATGACCTAATTTCCCCGGGGAGTGAGTTCCACAGGTGAGGGGCCACCACTGAGAAGGCCCTGTCCCTCGTCCCCACCAGCCTCACTTGTGATAGAAGTGGGGCCGAGAGCAGGGCCTCCCCAGAAGATCTTAAACTCCGAGGTGGGATATAGAAGGAGATACGTTCGGACAGGTACGCTGGGCCAGAGCAGTATAGGGTTTTATAGGTCAAGACTAACACTTTGAATTGTGCTCGGAACTGGATCGGCAGCCAATGAAGCTGACACAACAGAGGGGTGGTATGTTCCCTGTATGACGCTCCGGTGATTAATCTAGCTGCCGCCCATTGGACTAACTGAAGTTTCCAAACAGTTTTCAAAGGCAACCCCACATAGAGCGCGTTGCAGTAATCTATTTGGGATGTAACAAGAGCGTGGACCACTGTGGCCAAATCAGACTTCCCAAGGCACGGGCGCAACTGGCGCACAAGTTTTAATTGTGCAAAGCTCTCCCAGCCACCGCCAAAACCTGGGGTTCCAGGCTCAGCTATTTGTCCAGGATCACTCCCAAGCTTTAATGTTGGAGGCTGGCTTGATCCCCACCCCCTGCCCAGGCCTGGATATTATGGAGAAGAAGTACCGATGTTGATGCCATATGGGCTCCCCCCACCCCGGATGATTATATCTACTTTTTCCGGACATACTACCTCGTCACAAATGACTTGTTCTGGTGGCATATGCCAATTTAGCTGTAGTCGTCCATGAAGCCCACTTGCTCCCATCAGATGACACAGTTTCATATGGACTCCAACCCCACCCACCTTGTCTATACTCTTCTTTGGGCATTCCCTTTGATGGCCATGTGTGGAAGAAGACAGGCTTTCTGTACTTTTCATTAATATGTAGCATAATTTCAGCAAGTTGAATTCTCACATCTTGTCAAATAGGGTGTCTTATCTCATGATCATACCCGTGCTTCCTCTTCATTGTGTGTTCCTTCCAAATGCTACTTCTGCAAGTATGAGAGTCTGCTCTGTTACAGTAAGTTGTAGCAGGACCAAGTGTGTGTTGAAGAAAAAGCTTATGATGGGAATTATTATGTGCAGCTGGTAATGTAGGACAACCAGCAATCTTGGACCACACATGATAGGGTATAACTGTATGGGTTTTTGAAAAACAGTTCTGGAGACCTTTTCTCTGAGGAGATCTATGTTCAAAGGCTCTGTTCTGAGGAGCAGGTTGGAAAGAAACGTTATGCAACTCTAAAGGAGGCTATGGTGGAATAGCTGTTTGCTCAAGGTTTATGTTTTGCTCTCTCATTTGACTTAAGATTAAGATGCCTTATTTTGTGTTTCTTAGAAAGACTATGTAAGTTTCTGACTATGTATTGTCGAAGGCTTTCATGGCCGGAATCACTGGGTTGTTGTAGGTTTTTTCGGGCTATATGGCCATAGTCTAAAGGCATTCTCTCCTGACGTTTCGCCTGCATCTATGGCAAGCATCCTCAGAGGTAGCGAGGTCTGTTGGAACTAGGAAAAAGGGTTTATATATCTGTGGAATGACCATGGTGGGACAAAGAACTCTTGTCTGCTGGAGCTAGGTGTGAATGTTTCAACTGACCACCTTGATTAGCATATAATGGCCAGACAGTGCCTGGAGCAAACTTTTGTTGAGAGGTGATTAGATGTCCTTGTTTGTTTCCTCTCTGTTGTTGTGCTGTTGTAATTTTAGAGTTTTTTTAATACTGGTAGCCAGATTTTGTTCATTTTCATGGTTTCCTCCTTTCTGTTGACATTGTCCACATGCTTGTGTATTTCAATGGCTTCTCTGTGTAGTCTGACATGGTGGTTGTGGTTTGGTTGTGAGAGTGGCCCAGCATTTCTGTGTTCTCAAATAAAATGCTGTTGTGTTCAATAAAAAAATTAAAAATACAAATAAAAAGTGAAAAATGAAAAGGAAAGGAAAGCGAAATGTGACTTCTGGCATTCCTTTTGATGGTTATAAATGCATGTAGATAGTCTCTTCAACATCGCCTTCTTTCAAGGACCTATTCTTTTAAATCATTAAAACCAAAAGTTCCAAAATCATTTTCTTTTTGCAAAGGGGTTTCCAGTTTTTGGAATTATATTTCATATTTTAGAAATAATTTCTCTTTCCCCACCATACACAGGCAAACCTTCTGTCTCCAAGATGAAACTGTAAATTCATGGTATGTTTTATTTGGAAAGTCATCTATGTTGGAAAGTACTACTCTATGCAGTAGTTCTTAGTATTAGATCCTAAGCCATTCAGTGTTGGTCTCTGGCATGTTCCCAGGAATAAACAGTTTAGCTAATGGACACAAATAGGGTGCTAGTCCACAGGACACTGTGGAAAAAAGTGCCACTCTCCCACAACAGATAACCAAATCCCTAAGCAAGAATCTTGCAACTCAACCATCTTTGGCAGATAGACATCCAGCCTCTATTTAAATACCCCAATAAAGAAAAGCTCGCTGCCATCTGAGGCAGCATTGCCAACTAGAATCATAGAATCATAGAGTTGGAAGGGACTTCAGGGGCCATCCAGTCCAACTCCCTGTGAAGAAGCAGTAAAATCACATTCAAAACACCCCCGACAGATGGCAAAAGAAAATAAGCTTGCTTCCTCCTCCCTATTACTTCATCTCACATATTTATACATGGCTATCATGTCTCTTCTCAGCCTTCTTTTTTTCAGATTAAACATGCCCAGCTCTTTAAGCTGCTCCTCATAGGGCTTGTTCTCCATTTTAGTTGCCCTCCTCTGGACACATTCCAGCTTGTCAACATCTCCTTCAATTGTGGTGCCCAGAATTGGACATAGTATTCCAGATGTTGTCTAACCACATCTAACTAGCTCCTCACTTTAAGACAGTGGTTCTCAATCTGGGGTCCCCAGATGTTTTTGGCCTTCAATTCCCAGAAATCCCAACAGTTGGTAAACTGGCTGGGATTTCTGGGAGTTGTAGGCCAAAAACATCTCGGGACCCTAGGTTGAGAACCACTGCTTTAAGAGATCTCCTAATGCTTCTGGTTACCTGTCATTTTACATCCACTTATTTTAATCTTTCTTTCTGGTGCATCAGAAAACAACCTGTACAGGAGTTGATTATAAATTGTATGATTTTAACTGTATTTGTGTTTAGATTGGCTGCAGTAATGCTGGAGCGGCCTAAGTCAGAGGAGTCCTCCATGTGCATTTCCATGGAGACCGATGCAGGAGAGAGGGAAGTGGGAGGAGCTTAGAGAGGAGAGTTTGAAAAAACGACAGTTAAAAATTAGTTAGGGTTTAGGTTTAGAGGAGTGAGCAGTCCGGATTTAGGTTCATAGGAGTGAGGAGTTGGGAGAGAAGGAAAGGAAAGGTGGTGGAGTGACTTGTGAAGCAAAGCTTTGAGGCTTTGAAAAGCTGGGTTTGGCTATTGGAAGTTTCTCAGGCTAGTACAGCTGAATGGTGAAACATAGCTAGTATTCTTTTAGTCTAAGGAGAGGCTAAAGAATAGTTTACTTAGTATTTGACCTAGGGAGGATCAAATAAGGGAAACATCCCTGTATTGAAACTTTGTCTGAAACAAGTGCTCTACGTCAGAAAGATACTGTGTTACTTGAAAGAATGAACTGTTAAAGTTACAAGTATTATTCCAAGTGCAACAAGGAAAAGTTACGTCTTGCAACCACACGCTGTGTACTTAATAAAATTGTTAACTTTTATTTGAAG